CTTCAGCAGGGTATTAAACATTTTCAAGATAATCTTTCCAAATACATTAATATCAGATGATAGTGATAACACAATGGTAGGGTGTTTGCCTTGCACACAGCTGGCCTGGCTGAGCTGGGTTGGATTCTTCTGCCCCGCTCGGAGAGCCTGGCAAGCTACCGAGAGTATCTCACCCACAGAGCCAAGCCTGGTTAGCTACCTCTGACATATTCGATATGCCAAACACAGTAATAATAAGTCTCACAATGGAGACGTTACTGGGCCCGCTCGAGCAAATTGATGAACGATGGGAGGACAGTGCAGATAGTGATAGTAATGGTAATTTGCCCTCTTATTTCCAATTTTACCTTTTATTTTTACTTTGAGTAACTGAACTAAATATTTAGTGCCTTCAGAATAAAGGTAAATTGTGGTGACAATAAACATTCTTATCTTGGCTTTGGAGTTTCATGTAATGGTGGCTTGCATTTAAAATAAAAACAAATATATTTTATGTGAGTATACATCTAAGTACATACAGATGTACTTTAATTATATTAAAACTGGGGCCAGAAAATGGCTCAGTGATAGAGCATAGAGGCCTTGGGTTTAATCTACAACACCAGAAAACAAAAAAGTTATATTCAAGGAGTTTATCATATTATATCTTGGCATATGGAGATGATAAAATGAAGCTTTTTTGCATTACTAATATGGCTAAGGGCTGGAGCGACAGCACAGTAGTAGGGCGTTTGCCTTGCACGCAGCCAACATGGCTGACCCGAGTTCGATTCCTCCAACCCTCTCGGAGAGCCCGGCAAGCTACCAAGAGTATCTCGCCTGCATGGCAGAGCCTGGCAAGCTACCCGTGATGTATTCGATATGCCAAACACAGTAACAACAAAATCTCCAATGGAGATGTTACTGGGCCCGCTGGAGAAAATCGATGAAAAACGGGAGGACAGTGACAGTAATATGGCTAATTACATTAACCCATTCCCTAAGATTAACTCTGCTTTAATTCTAGCAGCATATGGTTATGCTTAATATAGGAAACTTCTTAGGAAGCTCTGAATTAAGCAATACTGTGTATTTCTGCACTTAATCTTAACTCGAAAAAGTTTCAGTCTTCTTATTTTCATCCAAACGTATCTAGTTTTGTATGAGTGTTAAACTGCCTTCATCTAATCTGGATGGCTCTACTTATTACTGTAATCTAGAGCAGTGCTTATCAACTTTTTTCCCAGTTGTGTCTCTCTTTCAACCTTTTATTCTATTGCACCCCAAATCCTGTGCTCTGGCTCTTCATTTATATGATTTTTGCCTGTTGCCTCCTTAAAATTTCCTGGTGATTCACAGAGGGCCATATGTCCCGAGTTGAATTACACTGATCTAGAGTCCTTTATAAGCATCACAATGCCATGATCACACAGAGTGAAGTGAGTAAAATGTAGAAAGGGGAAAAAGAAAAGTATAAATAAGCATGTATGCATGCACATATATTCGTCAGAAACACACATTAGGAAAAGCATAAAGAAAAGCCCAAAGTTGACTTTTACAATATATAAAGATTTCCAGTATACCATTAAGAAAAGAGTCAGTCTGGTTAAAGAAACTCTGGAACTTCTATACAATGGAATACTATGCAGCTGTTAGAAAAGATGACGTCATGAAATTTGCATATAAGTGGATCAACATGGAGAGTACCCATGCAAAGTGAAATGAGTCAGAAAGAGAGGGACAGACACAGAAGGACTGCACTCATATGTGAAATATAATGTGATGGAATGGGAGATTAACACCCAAGGATATTAGAGATAAGGACCAGGAAGATTGCTCTACAGCTTGGAAGCAAGTCTCACATGCTATGGGAAAAGGCAGCTCAGATAGAGAAGGGACCACCAAGTAAAGGATGCTTGGAAGTTCCACTCAGGATGGGAGATGTGTGCTGAAAGTAGACTATAGACCGAACATGATGGCCACCTAATGCCTGTATTGAAAACCACAATACCCAAAGGGAGAGACAGACTAAAAGGGAATGTGCCTGCCACACAGGCTGGGGCAGGGGGCGGGGGATGCTGGAAACATTGGTGGTGGAGAATGGGCACTGGTGGAGGGATGGGTACTTGATCATTGTATGACTGAAACGTAAGCATGAAAGTCTGTAACTTTACCTCACAGTGATTCATTTTTAAAAAATAATAAAAAAAAGAAAAGAGTCAGTGACTTAGTAGAATTGAGGATGATAAATGTAGACTACTGATAGGAAAAGAATTAATAATGACTTAAACATGCACAAAAATGTTCAACAGTATTTAGGAATATAAGATAACTATGAATTAATACTATTCCTTTTTCACATTAGCAAGGATAAGATTATAGGGGATATATCCAGTGGTGCTTAAGGCTAACAGCATTACAGCTGGCAATGGTTGGAGGTTACACTGTGCTGGTGACTAAACTCAGGGCCACACATAAACTAAGCATGTGCTTTTCCTCTTGAGGTTATTGCCCTAACTTCAAGACAAATACTGCTGATGGAAATATAAACTGGCAAAACTTCTGTAGATCATTACAAAAAGCACAAAAAAAATTCTACATTTCACAAGCAATTTTACTTCCGTAAATTGATCTCACTGATTTGTTCCAGACATTGAAATGAAATATTAAAATGGTTATCAATTATTGAGTAGTTACTATGTGATACTCACTGTTCTTTATCATAATTTGCTAGTGTCGGTATTATGATAACTCTTAGGCATGAATACTTATTATTTTTCGAGCTAAACAAAATTAAGGGTTATGAAAAGCTGCTTTTCTAAAATAAAACTTTTGGTAAACAACAGAGATAAGGGTCAAAGCCATAGTAAAGTGGGTAGGGCATCTGCCTTGTATGAGACCAACTGGGTTTAATTCCTGGGCACCCCATATAGTTGCCTGAGCCATGCCAGGGATGACTCCCGAGCACAGAGACAGGAGTAAGCCCTAAGCACTGCCAGCTGTGGTCCCAAAACAAAACAACAACAACAAAAAAACACAAATAATCTGGAAAGATGAAAGTAAAACACAGGTGGTCTGGCACCAGACTCATGTTCTTGGCTGCTACAATATACTTCCCCTCAGATAGTGCGAGGACGTTCATTTTTCGCACTGTAGACAACAGGCAGGTATACTAAACAACTGCCTATTAATAGCAGGCTGCATAATAAATTATAGCTCATCCAAACAATCAGATACACATAGCCTTTAAAGAGTTCAAATCTCTTTCAATAAGTGAAAGACTGTCAACACAAATTAGTGAAGACAGCAAACTGTAGAGAAATGCAAACATTATATTATCATGTATATAGAAAAATAAACTACTATTATGCATATAGTCATACATTTTTTCACAGTTGCTACAAAAATGATTTCTTTTTTTTATTGAATCACCATGAGATTGCATTTCAGTCATACAATGTTCCAACACCCATCCCTCCACCAGTGTAACTTCCTAGCACCAGTGTCCCCAGTTTCCCTCTCACCCCTTCAAGCCACCCCCTACCCCCGCCTGCCTCTATGGCAGGCACCTCTCTTCTCTCTCCCTCTTTCTCATTTTAGGCATTATGGTTTGCAATAGAAATGCTGAAAGGTTATCATTACATATGTTTTTTCATGCAAAGAATCTAACCAGAAGGACACAAATGGAACTGTTCACACAATTACCTTGACTGGGAAATAGAGTAGAAAGCACACTTGTATTCTATTTTAGTATAGTGTACAAGTTTATCTAGTTAATAGAAATAATCATTTTAAAAATAAGTAGCACTGCACTGTAGCACTGTCCTCCCGTTGTTCATCAATTTGCTCGAGTGGGTACCAGTAACATCTCACAACAAATTGTGAGACTTGTTGTTACTGTTTTTGGCATATCGAATACGTCACCGGTTGCTTGCCAGGCTTTGCCAGTGTGGGCGAGATACTCTCGGTAGCTTGCTGGGCTCTCCGAGAGGGGCAAAGGAATCGAACCTGGGTAAGGAGAGAAAAGTCAAAGGCTACATGCATAGACACCCAAAGATACTAGGGGGATCTCCTATATGAGAAGAAAAAAACTTTAGTATCACTTCTATTCCCAGGTCATAATGAAAGAAAGGTCACAAGAGATGCATAAGAAATGGCAGGCGCAGGAATGTGTCTCAACATATTTCACACAAGTTGGAAAAAACAACTAAGTATGAGGATAAGATCACAAAAATCTTCCTTAGTCTTGATTATTCACGTGATGCAAAGGAAAGAGGTTTTATGGGATAGGGGTCACTTGAGACCTCCCCAACTCTAACGGAGTGTCCCTGTATAGAAATAGTGAGGTCTCAAAGTAAACATCTCTGCACAGGAATATGATATCTCTGCTCCATTGGTCACCTGCCAATCTATCGCAAGGAAAAAACTGTTACCTAGATCCTCAGATAAAAACTCATTAAGCATCTGCTGAGAGCAAAGTACTGTCAGAGCACTGAGATTCCCTAACATTACAGTCCCCCAAGAGAGAACATACTTTCTGGGGATATGGAATATACCCAGGATAGCCTGAGGTCATATGTCAAAGCCACAGTACCTCCAACAGAAATGGCATGTTATCAACTTTAAGTGATTACATTTCTAGACACACCAATGTGTAAAGGCATTTAGTAGCTGTTGTCCGAGGGCATGCATTGGATAAGCGGCCATCCACTTCTCTTCCAGGCATGAGGACCACTCAGCATCTCAATGAAGACATCCATACCAACTGTGACTCTCACTGACTTCCTCTTCTAGAGAGACCCCACTAATGCTGGAACCAAAGGGACATATAGTAGAAGTAAAAATTTATAAGCTTCTAATATCTACTCCTTTAATCATACATAAGTCTTCCATAAAGCATTTACTTACAGAAACTATTGCATACATGCTACAATTTGAAAACATAGAAACAAAGAATGACTTTTAAAGCATCATGTTATGATGTGAGGATTAATGTTTATAAAAAAAAAAGTCTGTGTTACCTGACATGTGCATTACAGTATCTCTTGGCATAATCAGTCCATTTTCCAAATTTTTGTGGAAAGAGAGCTTCAATCTGCATGAAGAGCTGTAATAACACAGTGTTCTCAATCTGTCACAATAGTCTCAAGTACCATTACTATAATAAACAAACTTCACAAAATAGCAAAAAGTAAAAAATAAAATCAAATTCTTCTTTCTTAAGGCTTTGTTGCCCCATTCCCCATCCCGGAAATCCTATTCTTCAAAGATGACTGCTATGATTTTCTATACCTATAAGCATATGCATATATTTTTATCCAGAAGTAATATGAAAAAGATCATATTATACATACACAATTACAATTTGGTTCCCTAAGTCATGTCATAGACATCATGAAAATAAATACATATCTAATTTTATTAGGTTTTAAAAGTTGCAGATGTATTACAATAATAAAGCCCCTTAAAAGGCTGCATAACAATTCATTATTACATCATTTCATCCTCTATACTGTAAATTTAAAAGTCTTCTGTTAGGGAAGTATACACTATGTCTAGCTGCTGAGCAGTTACAGAAACTTCCAAGTTTGTGTGTGCTTATATTTATATACATATGTGGGTGTATGTATTATATTATATATATGGATCTCTATCTATCCACCCTACCTGCCAGTTACTCATTACATTTCCAGTAGATGGCTTTGTACAATTTTTTTTTTTTTTTTTTTGCTTTTTGGGTCACACCTGGCGATTCACAGGGGTTACTCCTGGCTCTGCACTCAGGAGTTACTCCTGGCGGTGCTCAGGGGACCATATGGGATGCTGGGAATAGAACCCGAGTTGGCCGCGTGCAAGGCAAACGCCCTACCCGCTGTGCTATCTCTCCAGCCCCATGTACAATATTTTTTAAAAAACAAAACTGGTAGGTTTAAGAAATAAAACTTTTTAGAGTTTAACATGTTACCATGTTATACTGTAAAAAGTTCCAATTTACACTCTCATCAACATAATTATAATCGTTATTTTTTTTCTTTTTGGGTCACACCTGGCAGTGGTCTGGCTCTATCATGAGGAATTACTCTTGGTGGTGCTTAGGGGACAACATGGGACACTGGGAATTGAACCCATGCCAGCTATGTGCAAGGCAAGTGCCCTATCCGCTATACTATAACTCTTTTCATTTTTTTATCTTCTCATTTTTATAACTTTAATAAATGGCACATACTAATTTCTCAGTGTTATTTTAGTATACCTTTTCAAAATAGCAAATTCATCCAAATGCAATTCATGTATCATTTGACCATTCCCATGTTTAAAGTGTACAATTTGGTGCTGTTTTGTATGTTCACAAAGATGTGCCTTCTTCATCACTATCTATTTTGGAATATGTTTATTATTACAACAAGAAAAAAACAACAACAAGGGCATTTGCCTCGCCTACAGTCTACACGATCTAATCCCTGGCATCCCATATGGTCCCAGAAGTAGCGCCATAAGTAATTCCTGCATACAGAGTCAGGAGTAACCCGAGCATTGCCGGGTGTGACCCTAAACGCAATAAAATAAAATAAAATAAAAAAATTTTAAAAAAAGTGGGACGGGGAAATTCAAAATTATAAATATTTTTTGAGATTGAAAAAAAAACGAAGAGAAAACATGAAAAGCAGTGGAAGCGGTACTTAGAGGTTAATTTATATTATTTAAATTTATGCTAGGAAAGGAATCAATTAACCACAAAAATCTCTCAAGATACCTGATTCCATTTGGGCTGAGCCCTCGGGGCAATCTGGGTGGGGAGGGGGTGCAGCTGCTACCCAAACAAAGCCTGGGGAGCTGCTCCCACACCCCAGAGTCCCCTACATTCCTCTGGCTGGATTATACCACCTCAGGAATGAGTTCCCACAGACCCAAATCTGTCGAAAAATTCAGGCACATGGGTCTTTGAGACTGAAAACTCCTTATCATCTCAGAAATAGGAAGATTTATAAGGGATTAATGTAAAACTGCATGTTAATAAATTAAACTAATTACTAGGAAGATACAACATACCAAAACTGACTTAAGAAAAAAAAGATAATCTGAACAAATATATATTCAATAAATAGAATGGACTGTTAATTTGGGCTACAGAGATAGCACTTAATAGATTATTTAAAAAACTACACAGAAAGGGGCTGCAGTGATACTATAGCAAGCAGGGCACTTGCCATGCAACATGGCTGACCCAAGTTTGATCGCCAGCACCCAGAGAGTCCATTTAGATGGTCAGGAGTGATCCCTAAGCACAGAGCCAGGAGTATGCCCTGAGCACCTCAGAGTGTGACCTCAAAACAAAACAAAACAAACTGAAAAATCTACGTAGAAGGGAAAGCTCGGGCCCAGATGACTTCACCATTGAATTTCATCAAATATTTTAAAAAGTAATCACTTAACATAAGTGATTAAGTGAAAATGTGTGTATATGTATTTTTATTTAAAAAGTAATAATGTTTCATAAATTCTTTCAAAAAAAGAGGAAGCGAAGAAACATTTCCCAACTCATTCTATGAAACAATCACGGCATTCTTAGCAAAATCAAAGATATAAAGACAACTATAGATGGATATCTTAAGACTAAAAAAACAATCATGGGGCTGCAGTGATAGTACAGTGGATATGGTGTTTGCCTTGCACAGGGAGGATCCTGATTCGATCTCCAGCATCTCATACGGTTCCCTTAGCATCGCCAGGAACAATTTTTGAGTGCAGAGCCAGAAGTAATTCCCGAGCATCGTTAAGTGTGATCCAAAAAGAAACAAACAAACAAAACAAAAATACCCCCCCCCCAAAAAAAAACAAATTATAGAAATAACTCACTAGTAAAGGTAAAGGTAAAGGCCCTCCCGTTGATCGTCGATTTGCTCGAGCGGGCCCAGTAACGTCTCCATTGGAGACTTTGTTGTTACTGTGTTTGGCATATCGAATACATCACGGGGAGCTTGCCAGGCTCTGCCGTGCGGGCGAGATACTCTCGGTAGCTTGCCGGGCTCTCCGAGAGGGGCGGAGGAATCGAACTTGGGTCGGCCACGTTGGCTGCGTGCAAGGCAAACGCCCTACCACTGTGCTATCGCTCCAGCCCAACTCACTAGTAATATTTCTATATTTTGGGTTTGGGGTTTTAGGTGGCTGAGTATATGGTGGTCATCCCTTATTAAATTACCTATCCCTATACAACTTAGAAATTTATGTAGAAATGGTGTGACTCTCCGTAGTGTATACCCAGAATTTGGCTCCTTGAGAAGGTGCTCTTCTAGTAAAATGCTTCTCACTTAGAAGTGCTTTCTCTCTCTCAAACATGCCTACACTCAGACTCACTGAGTTTGTCCTCTGGTTTTTACTGAACTGCCTGCCTTACCTAGCAATGCTATTTTTTAGGTTATACCTGCACTCTGATTCTTTAGTGTGCACTATACTTCAATAAAATGACTTTTCTGTACTTTAGTTCCTTGACTTGCTCTGGAATTCTTTTCTGTGGCAGAGGCATTAGCTTTAGCCCCTGACCAGACTTTTCTTACACTTGAAAAGACTATTAAGAAAAAAATTTATTAGCGATATTTTCAGAGAAGATAATTAACAGATATATAAAATTTATATTGTGAAAACAACAAAGTACTATTGAAAAATAATCACAGTTCTACACAAACCAAAAGAAATATTCATAAATTGAATACAATATTTTTACTACGGCAATATACTCCAAAGTGATGTACAAATTCAACCCAAACCCTATGACAATCCAAGCCGAATTCTTTGTACAAGTTGCCAAGTTCTAAAAAAAAAGAGAATTTAAAGGACCCAAAATATCCAATATAATTTTGGGGAAAAAAATTGGAGGACTCCCTAGCTTTAAAGCTTCCAACCTAGAATTTGTAACTTTACTTATTTTTTTTTTAACAAGTTCTAAACTTGCTCAAATTGTTTAACCACCAGAATTTGTGAAAGGAGATTTACTCTCGATTTGAAAAGTGGCTATCCCTGGGGATGTAGCTAAGGAGGAGCCGCCAAGGTTTGGGCATTTGCCTTGCACACAGCTAACACAGATTCAAACCCTGGTATCCCATATGATCTCCTGAGCACCAACAGACATGATTCCTGAGTTAGACAGGACTAACCGCGGGGCATTACTGGGTTTGGCATCCACCTCTATCTTACTCCCACAAAAAGCGCCACCCCCCCAATTTTTCTAAGTGGATGCTAAATAAGAGGTGAAAAGTACTGGCAAGTAACTACAGTGGGGCCAAAGGGCCATTACTGTGTTGTCAATATTTCCCTTCTAATCAATAGGTAAATCTTCATTTCACTATTATCATTACAATATACTTCTTCTGTATACACTCTTTGTGAAGTGAACCCTTGAGAAATAAAGCATTTGTAGGTACTGCTGCAGCACCCACATACTGTGCTGGAGATCACATCGTGATGCGCTGGGGACTGCACTGGGTCATGTGTGTGGATTTAAGGATCGAACCCAAGATTGTATGTGCAAGGCATGTGCTCTACTAGCGAGCCACATTACTGGTCCTACAACTTTTCTACTAAAGAAATAACCAACTATTTTATTCTATGACATAATTTTCCAAGACAAGTAAACACTTGGGATCCACTACCCAACTTCCAATGGGTACCCAATAACAAAACATAAAAAAGGAAAAACTGAGAATCTTATTATCACTACGTATTGCTCTGTTTATGTTAGAAGATTTTCAGGATTCAAAAGAAAATCCTTGGTAATTCTGCTAGAAAACTGGCTTAATGAAATTAACAATGTCTGCTACCCTATGTTGCCCAGGACCAAAGGCATGGTATCTTCAAAGCATTATTTCTGTTAATTCTGATAATAAATAACTTCAGACAACAAGCCTATACCTTTTTCTGACTCACAATGTTCATTAATAGATAGGCTTCCTAAATTACACTGGCATTTACAGATACATGAAAATTTCATTCATCATTACCTCTCCTTAATCCTTTAATCACCCCAGGCCTGTTAGAGTGAAAAATCTAAATAAAACAAAAGCCTTATTTTTTCATTCTAATGGTAAAATCTATCTATTCTATTTATCTTATCTACTAGATAATCTATCTACTCTACATCTCAGTTCCAGTTCCTCTGCACATTCTAAATTATGGATCTTAAAATAAGAGGAACAGAGAGAATTTATAGAACGTAGAGTAAAAGATACAAAGTAATTTAATAAAAGATATAAAGTAGATTCAACACCAATTCAAGGAAGCTTATAATATAAAACAAAACTGGATGAGTGAAGATAATCAACATTGACAATCACAAGAACAAAAATTTGCATGTTATAAATTTATACTAGATATGAAAATAAAAGGTCAAATCAATGTTCCAAGTGTATGTACAAGTATGACTAAAGGGTACATGTAAATGCACAAAAATAATCATGGTCACAGATGTACATAATTATTAACAGGTATTTAAAAATCCAAATATACTCTTCTGGCATTTAATTTCATTTAAAATTAAAAACTTGCTAAACAGATAACTAACTTTTTATTTAAGATGAAAGAATTAGGAGTTTAGTACCTCTTCAGGTCTTCCCAAAGCTGGAGTTCCTGTAAGAAGAATGGCACGTTTGGCTTTTTGTACTAATGGCAATAAAATCTTGCTGCGGGTTGCATTTCTGGACTTCATGTAGTGTGATTCGTCCACTATAACTACTTTAAAGTTCTGGTTATTTAGTACATCTATCAAAGTCTCTGCATCTGTAGTTAAAAGACCATAGCCCAGAACTGTCACTTTGCTGGTCGATATACGCCTAGAAAAGAAAGTCAGTGTATTTAAAAAATACTTCAGCAACAAATTTATCATAAATAATATATTTTTTGGGAAAAAACAGAGAATAAGAAAATAGGAAAACATAAGGAGATGGCACTAAGGCTGCACCCCAATTTATCTTGAGAGGTTAATCTTCAGGGACCAGAGAAATAGTACAGTGGGTAGGGCATTTGCCTTATGAGCTGTGGAACCAGGTTCAATCCCCAGCACTCATTTTAATATCTCAAGTTCCATCAGGAATGATCCCTGAGCACAGCCTGGAGTAAGCCCTGAGCATAGCTGGATGTGGCCCCAAAACAGAACAAAGGAAAACTTAATTTTAAAAAAAAGATTAATTTTCAAATGTGACAAACCAAAATCCATAACTAAAATAACCAAGTGTTTGTTTAAATGGTCTTTGCAGAACATTGAGTAAGCCACATTTTACCAGACTAAGAACACTTTTCTTTAAGTTTATTTGCTTCAATGCACTCAGATCATATGTAAAGTTGATAACAAAATATTAGCTTAATGATTAATGAAGCCAACCACAAATTTAAAAAAATGTATAAATCAGATGCTACTGGTATTTTGAGCAGGACCATCTAGTGGGCCGCAGGACATTCCCCAATCCCGGACGCTCCCAATAATGGCCAGCAGAGTTCATGTCACCATGACAAAAATGAAATGATGAATAGAACAGAGGGGGATGCTCCTTAAACAGAGAAACAAAGTGATCCCTGATCTTTTTTCAATGGTCACTGTAATTCAAGATACAATATTCTTTCTAACACTGTAATGAAAATATATACTGAAGTACTAATCTCCTTTAATATATCATAAGATTGGTAAAGGCAGAGAATGTGTCTTATTCATCTTTATATGACTGGTATTACATTCCAAATTAGTATGCGAAATGAAGTAATAGACAAATGAATCCTAACAACACATCATGCCATTTCTGCAGGATAGTCAGTTTTCTGGCAGTCTCTACCCTTGAACCAAAAAACAAAACAAAACAAAACATAAAAACGGCGGGGGTCAGAGTTCCTAAAGTGCCAGCTCCAAACTGACAATCACATCTTCCCCGCCCAACTTAATGACAAGCATATTTCAAGCCCTGGAAAAATCTACTAAAGGGATATAGTAAAGGCCTATAAAGATGCAAAGGTATCAAAGACTAGTGAAGACCTTCCTTGACTTGTGAACTATGCAATCATAACTGGTATGTGTCAAAAAGTTAAAATAATTGTGGCAAATATATGTTCTACATGTTGACTTTTAACTAAAGGTATTCTATTCTTTAAATACATGAAAGACATAGGGTAAGCATTTCTACCTTTAGCTGACATATTCTGGGTGTTGTAATATGATTAAACATATGCTAAGCATTATTCAAATAAAAATATTAACCACTGTTAAATGCAAAAGAGTATTTCCTGGGAGCGATGGTCCTAGCAGATATATCTAGGACCATTCATACCCTAAAAGTTGAGTATACATTCTTTAGTTCACATAGGACCTTCTCTAAGACACAACATATGCTGACTCACAAAACATATCTTCTTGAAAGAGATAATTAAAAACTAGATCAGGAGATAAGTCCTGAGCAAGGCAGGGTGTACCCCAAAAGCCAAATCAGAGGAAACAAAATAAAAGAAATTATTCAGCACTTCCTTGGAAATCTACCTATTTTTTAAGTTAAAAAAATTATTTTATTGAATCACCATGAGACGAACAGTTATTGTTCATAATTAAATTTTATGATTAAATTTCAGTCATGACTTGTCCCTTCACCAGTGTACATTTGTTTATATCCCACAAATGAGTCCAGTTTATATTCCACAAATGAATCCAGTCATTCTATGTCTATCCCTCTTCCTCTGATTCATTTAACTTAGCATGATACTCTCCATGTCCATCCATTTATATGCAAAATTCATGATTTCATTTTTTTTCTGTAGTATTCCATATCTTTTTTAAATCAAACATAAAGGGGCCCTCATTTGTGCTCTAAAAATTCCTGCTCTAATTCTAGCGAATTCTACACAGAGAGTGTATCACTCATTTTGGGAAACACTGGTATGCATTCTTTTTTGAGGGAAGTGGTGTGTTTGTACCATACCCAACGGTGCTCAGCTTACTCCTGGCTCTGCACTCAGGGATGACTCCTGGTGGGCTCAAGGGACCATCTGTACTATTGGAGATTAAACCCTGGTCACCACATTGAACGTGACAGCCTCCTTACTGCAGCTTCTCTGTAGCATAAGATGTTCATTCTTAAGTCTCAAACTTTAAGTTGTCTTATAAGAGGAAGGGGAATTTATAATTATTATTTCTATTTTATTTTCACTATGGAAATAGCATCCAAATTTCCTTAAAGACACATTTGATTGAACTGATTTCAAGACTAAAGGAGAAAAGCCCTCCATCTATTTTATCTGATTCCTCCTTGACAGTCACAAAGGTCAACTTTAATTTTAGAAGGACTTTTTATGTTAACAATTTTAGAGAATGTAACACAGTGCCCAGATACCACACAATAACTTTAAGTTTTAATAGACATTTTTTAAAAAGTAGACATTTCACTTTTCACTGTGGCTCAGAAATGGATGATTTTAAGCCTCTGAAACATGATAATTTGTATGGTCCTTCTAGAAACTCAATATGATATATTTCAATTTCAAATTTGTTTATGCTAAAGGTAATACAGCGAAGGAGAAAGAACAGTATCTGTGCTGATTAATTTTTTTATAAGGGCTTAAAATAACCACAAAGCATTGATTTTTATCAATGTAGAAAATATTGAAATTATATAATGCCAAGAAAACAAAGCTAGCTAATATTTATTTTGAGTTATTCATAAAAGTTGTATATAAAAATAATGAAGAAAACAAATCTATCATAATTGCTGATAATGAAAGCTTATAAGCTCTAACTTAATGATTAAATATTGTGAAACTTTTTAAGCCTATATTAGTTTTAAGTATACTTAATTTATATTTAAATAGGCACCTTACATATATCTTTAAAATATGCATAGCTGGGACAGGGAGCTAGCTCAAATGGCTGGAACATATGTTGTGTTTACAAGACACCCAAGTTCAATCTTCATCACAACCAAGAATAGACCCTGAGCATCACTGGATATGGACCAAAAAATAAAGAAAAAAAATATTTTATATGTGAGTGTGTGTGTGTGTGTGTACTTTATAATTATGCAACAATCCACTTAACGGGACTTAAAACATTTAATATACTATTGGACTTCTGATAAATAATTGGCATTTAAAGACTTAAAACCAAGTAATACTTCACAGTACTTCCTTAATGTTGTTATTTATAGATATACCTCATTAAAAATATGAGTGTATTATCCACATTAGAGAGTAGCTTTTATTTTAGGTTAAAGAAGTTGCTCTTACCAAACATCGTTTTTATTCTGAATAACATTAATTTCTTCTGGGCCTAGTTCTGGAATCCATTTCTCTATTTCTTCTGTCCAAGGGTATCTTAGAGATGAAGGAACCACTATCAAAAGAGGCCACTCCTCCTTATAAAAGTAAGTGATGGCAATTGCCTGGATTGTCTTTCCTAGACCCATCTAGATAGGAAAAGAAAAAGAAAAAGAAAGAAAACTTACAAATATAATGGCAAAATAATTTCTAAAAGATTTGTGTATTATCAAAATTAATTCCAATAAAAATCATTAGGAAACAGTTAATAAAAGTATATAATGACTTTTTGAAAACTAATTTTTCAGCTGTATGAGTTTTAAATATTTTATTATTGAGCTAAAGAAAAATAAGCACAATTTTTAAAATTAGTCATACTGGTCTCTTACTTTTATAATTAACTTAAATTTACAAAAATATAGCTGAATATTTATGATATCTTAGAGAACACAAGAACAAATTAATCACTGACCTATATGGCATAAAATAATTTCATTTTAAAGCTAGGATAAGTCTTTTATTGTGCACATTTTACAAAAGAAGAGCAGAGAGAGAAGTTCAAAATATGTGTACAACTTAATGGTTAACTAGAAGTAAAACTAATGAATAAACCCAGGTCACTGAGGGCTCAACCATCATTTCCACACTTGCACAGATCACACTGTCTATGTGCAAGCTGTACCCATTAAAAAATTAGTTACTACATAAATGTTTGTAGTCATTTTATTTATAATAATCAGAGAACAGTGGTGATCCAAATGTGCCTCATGTTGAGCAAATGAAAAACTGTATCAAAAAATGGCAAACATTCAGTAATGAAAAGAAGGAAACTGTATCTATACGCAATACAAGTGAAACACAAACTTGCTAAGTGAAAAATGCTGGACTCAAAAGCTACACACAATCTGATTCCACTGAAAAGTTTTGTTTGGTGGCTGGAGAGATAGCACAGTGAGTAGGGTGTTTGCCTTGCACGCGGCCGACCTGGGTTCGATTCCCAGGAACCCATATGGTCCCCTGAGCACCACCAGGAGTAACTCCTGAGGGCAGAGGCAGAAGTAACCCCTGTGCATTGCCAGGTGTGACCCAGAAAGAAAAAAAAAAACTTAGAAAAGTTTTGTTTGGACCTGAGTGCCTGAGAACAGACAACTGCCTAAAGAAACTATGGTATATCAACACAGTGGAATACTATGCTGCTCTTAGGAAAGATGAAATCTTGAAATCTGCTTATAAGTGGATAGACATGGAGAGTATTATGCTAAGTGAAATGAGTGAGAAAGAGAGGGAAGACATATAATGACTGCACTCATATGTGGAATATAAAATAACATGATATGAGACTAGTACCCAAGGACAGTAGCGACAAGGCCAGAAAGATTACTCCACAGTTGGAATCCTGCCTCAAGTGCTAGGGGAGAAGGCAGCTGGGATAGAGACAGGACCACTAAGTCAATGATGGTTAGAGGGAGAGCTCGGGATGGGAGATGTGTGCTGAAAGTAGATAGAAGACCAAACACGATGGTCTTTCAGTATGTGTATTGCACACCATAAAGCCCAAAAGTAGAGAGAGAGAGAGAGTATGGGGGAAACTATCTGCCAGAGGCAGGGGATGGGGTAGACTGGGGGTAGCGGGAGGGCTACTAGGGACATTAGTGATGGAAAATGTACACTGATGGCAGGATGGGTGTTCCATCATTGTATGACTAAAACTCAGTCATGAAAGCATTGTAACTGTATCTCACTGTGATTCAACTTTAAAAACTTAAAAAAAAAACAAAGATAAAAAATTACAATGAGTATTTATGAAAATCAAAAGTGTGCACAGGAAGTTTTTAAAAAACTGATTAAAAATCTTATGAAATATTTTAAAATAAAAAACATTTTTAGCTTAAAAAAAAGTTTTGTTTCAGTTTGGACGATACTTGGCTGTGCTCAGGGCTTATTCCTGATTCTATGCTTAAAGATCACTCCTAGCAGTCTGAGGGGACCATATGAGGTTCCAGGGATCAATCCAGGATTGGCCACATACAAGGAAAGCCCCTTAATCTCTGTAGTCTCTCTCCAAAGCCCTATGATTCCATGTTGATGTTATTCTGGAAAAGGGCAAGACAACAGGGACAGAAAGAACATCAAAAGCTAGAAATCAAAGGAGAGGATCAGCAAAAGGTTACTTTGGGGAAAATAGGAGAGTTGCTATAATGAACTGTGAGAAGAAAGAAAGTCTAGCCTACACGCAATGGGCTGGGAAGGTAGCTCAAAAGGCTGGAGGACATGCTTGGTATGTGGAGTCCTGCGTTTGATCTCCAGCAAATCGTGGTTCCCCGAATTACCACCTCAAGTAACTCCCAAGAATGGAGTCCAGAATAATTCCTGAGTCCTGATGGGCGTGGTCCCAAACCATAAATAAATAATAAATCACAGAGCTGGTTCACAGCAGTTTATTCAAAGGAAAAAAAACACACAAAAACTTAAAATAATTCATTAGAATGCATTCATAATTGCTGAAGAAAATAGAAAAATTCAGTTTTAGATTGTTAGCCAAGTTTTCATTAAGAAAACCTTGCTTCGTGATTTTTTAAGTACTATTTTTAACAATATATGTAGTCATAGACTAATTCAATAATACTACATTTAATTTAAAAAAGATGAGGGGGAAACTAGTACAGATTGCTTAGGAAAATTTTTTGTTATTGGAATAAAGACTACTATTTTATGACTTGTGAACAGCAATTTGCTATTGTTTGCATGAATAAATCACTAAATAAAAATAAAGATCCTTCAAATTCTCTGAAACAGGCAAGGTCTAGGGACAAAAAGGATATCTGCAGCTTTACTTTTTCTTTTTTAAAAACAGGCAAAACAAGCGTAAAGCTTTTATTACAGAAGCAATAATATAAGAAATATCATTTCAAAGTTTTGATGCATGTACCTATAGACTCTAAGCTGTCTAAAAACTTTTAATATTAAAATACGATCCATTTGAAGACAAAAACTGGGGGCTGAAGAGATAGCACAGCGGGTAGGGCGTTGGCTTTGCATGCGGCCGACCCGGGTTCGATTCCCAGCATCCCATATGGTCCCCTGAGCACCGCCAGGAGTGACTCCTGAGCGCAGAGCCAGGAGTAACCCCTGTGCATCGCTGGGTGTGACCCAAAAAACAAAAACAAAAAAAAAATGAAGACAAAAACTATTTTATATCCAGTATTTTAACAATAGAATTGAAGTCAAGGGAATTCTTGATAGCACACGAGGGAATTTAGAAGTCAACATGAACATGCATGAACACAGTTTATATATTTTATTACAAAATGTATCAATTAACAATTTAACCTTCATTATCTCTTTCCTAGGAACAACAATCATACAAACCAACTTTTAGCACACACAGCCAAATTTAAGATCAATCTGATGGCAGTAAACATAAGTCTACTTGAAAATAAATTTTTATATTGTTTTGTAAGCCCAAACCAAAAAGCAATTATGCACCAATATATGGTATAATGACTGGAATATTTCTCCTGTCCACAAAGCTGAAACTAAATTTGATTACAATGAAGAATCAAGTTGGTCCCAGCAGACATTTAACAATTACAGACTTTCATCTGGTCCTACGATGTGTTGCTGCTTCCCCTCAACATCTCTGAAGTTTAGTTGTTGGTTTCATTTGCGGGAGGGATGCAGTTGGGGGTATCAGGGCTTAAGGGCTATACATGGTGGTGCTTGGGGGACTATATACGGTGCCGGGACTAAAAACAATCTCACAGCAATAGCCTCAGACCAGGCTAGTGCCTGAATCCTTATACTCTCTCTCCAGCCCACATCTCTGCAATTTTTACCCATAATTCCAGGGAGAAGTCTTTAATATAGAAGGCTTTCCCTCTGGGGTCATATAACCCTAGTCAGGTATTTTGCAAGAATCTTCTATTTCGAGAAGGCCCAATCTGCATCAGAAAGAGAGGGACAGACATAGAAAGACTGCACTAATTTGTGGAATATAAAGTAACAGAATGGGCAACTAACACCCAAGAATACTTTGCTCCATGGCTTGGAAGCCGGATTCACATGCTGGGGGAAATGGCGGCTCAGATAGAAAAGGGACCACCAGGGGTTGGAGCAATAGCACAGCGGGTAGGGTGTCTGCCTTACAAGCAGCCAACCCAGGTTTGATTCCCAGCATGCCATATGGTCCCCTGAGCATTGCCAGGGGTAGTTCCTGAGTGCAGAGCCAAGAGTAACCCCTGCGCATCACCAGGTGTGACCCAAAAAGAAAAAAAAGAAAAAAGAAAAAAGAAAAGGGACCACCAAATAAAGGGTGTTTGGAGGACCCACTTGGGATGGGAGATGTGTACTGAAAGTAGACTATAGACCGAACATAATGGCCATTCAATACTTGCATTACAGACCACAACACCCTAAAGGAGAGAGAGAGCAAAAGGGAATGTGCCTGCTGGCGGGAGTGGGGGGCGGGGGGGGGGGGAATGGTGGGGAGATGGGAGGGATACTGGGAACTTTGGTGGTGGAGAACAGGCACTGGTGGAGGGACAGGTACTCGATATTGTATGACTGAAACGTAAGCACGAAAGTCTGTAACTAATAATTCATTATTTTTTAATGAATCATAATGATTCATTAAAAAATAAAATAAAATAAAAATAATTAAAAAAAAAAAAGAAGGCTCAATTTGCATCTACCTCCTTAGCCCTAAGGATTGCTTGAAAGCTCAGATCAATCTGGATTTCTCAATCTGAGCCCAAGAATATACAGTTTAAATAAATGGCCAATGACTTGAGGGTCGTATGTTTGTAGAAATTCTTGGTCTTCCTCTCATTTCTTAGACACTGTTTTCCATGTCGCAAGATTTTGATGCATAGTTTGAAAGCTCTCACAGAAACAGGTAAGCGGATTGTTTCAACAATGTGGTTTACTTCTTTAAGAAGAAATGATCTAGACTGATAATGAAAAAGTCAGTCTGGAGAACTACAAATGTATTACTTCATGTTACTTGGGGGAAAAGTACTTCCCTACTATTCACAGTAATGTTATTACATGCTTTCCTTATAGCTTAAAAAAATAATTAGAGTTAAAATATTAACTATTTATTAAGAAGTCTTGGAGTTGAGAAGATAGCTCCAAAGGCTGAAGCATGCCT